AGCTCTCTTGATAGTAATTATTGAAAACATACAGTATAATCTAAGCTCGCTGTAATTATACACAATGATTTATCAGCCATTAAAAACATACAGTAGATCTATATGAACAGTTTGAACACACACATGTCGGTTGTACAGATGTCATTAATGAATAAAGAATACAAATCTGTAAGTCTAACAGGCTAACAGCAGGGGAATGTTTATTGCATTGATGAATTTGGGCTGGGCTTGTCCTAGACATGCATAGCCCACGTACATAAATATTTCTTTAACCATAAAAGGGAATAACTTTGAGTATTGTACTAGTAGTACTAGAGAGTGATTCCTAAGCCTAGATCAGAGTCTGTGTATCATGCCTACTGCAGCCTTAGTCAAGCAGGTCCTTTCACTAGCTACTTTTGTGATACTTCTAGTGTCACTAGGAGCTACTGGTACTTCTCTTGGTCTCCTTCAGGCTAATCTTCCTATTCAATCTGCATATGGGAAAGCATGTTTTTTCTTCATTAATTATTCTCAAGCTATTTCCCTCATTGAGTCAGAGACCCCAGATTTCAAATTTAATATGCCCACTTGTAAGTTGAGTATAGCAAGTGCTACCATTGCTACAATATGTCTGGTTCTGCTAACTGCCATTGAGCTAATCAGTGTTTTATATCAAATAAATGTCAAAACGTAAGTTAAATCAGTAGTAGTTCATATACATAGGTATCTATGTATATTTAATTCCATTTTAGGTTGATTGCTAACATTATTCAAGTTGGATTCTTTGTTGGTTCTATTTTGTTTCTATTCATTACCATGGTTGTGGTTTCAGCTGGTTGGGGAAAAACATGTGCTACATTCAAAAATATAACAAAAGCACAAGATTATGGGCCTAGCTTTAAATTTAAATGCACTGAACAACTGCAAAAGCAAACTGATTCTCCCTACAGACCAAATGGAGCAGAATTCATAGGAGCTGCTGTAAGTCAATAAATAGGTGATAAAGCTATTACATTATTCTGCCATGACATTTGAAAAACATCTACTACCTGCTGATAATAAGACCACAGTTGACATACATACATACATCATATCTAACAGGCTAGGCCAGTAAAGAATCAACCAAGCTTGACAAATGGACTAATAAGAGCGTAAAGCTAGGTTCAGAATTCTGAACCTAGCTTAAGCGACTAAGCGTAGAGCGCCAAGTTTCTAAGTGTTCCCAGGAGGTTTCTAAGTGTTGGTGGGAGGTATCTAATAGATTTAGAAACCTGGTATTCTGCACTTTGATTGGTCAATTGAAATTTGGCATGGTAGAAGTTCAGTGGTTATACCATAAATATTAGAGACTACGTTATACACTTTGGTATTGGTTTCTATGGTATTAATTAACTTAGCACTTGGTTAATAAATGCCATAAAGCACTAGGTTAATAAATACCATAAAAACCTCTACCTCGGTGTATAACCTATACATATTCTCCTGATAGGTATGTGCTGGTGTTGGTACTCTGTTTACTATTGTAGCTCTTGGTCTCTTTATTGTGAAGCAGATGAAGTCAAAAGATGATTATAAACCTCTAAATGTCCAAAATGAGTGAACTTTAACTAACTTAACTAGCTGCTGTGCACATTGCATTGTTGATGTTATAGTTTTAGTGTGTAGCATGTAGTTTCTGAAGTATAGTTGTCATTGTCTCTTAT